AGCCGATATTAAGGGCTCAAGTAGAAGGCAAATGTTTTGAGAATGATGATGGCAACAAATGTACAAATGTGCTTGACACAATGGATGTATGTGTGGGTTGTGATAAGAATTGTACGAGCCCCCAATAAAATGATTAAAAAAAAAACAAAAAAAATGATTGACAGGCTTGGAAACCCACAGAGGCAGTTCTATCTACCAATAGGGTCAGTATGAGTTGGGTTTTGAATGAGATGGCTGGCACTGCTTCTCGCTGGTATTGATGACTTCAAGGACCTTATGCGGCTCGAGGACTGGACATTGTCCACCCGAACGAGGGTTAGTGTGCTATTGAAATTGAAATTATAACCCACCCTGGGAACGCAGAGGAGGGAGGAATTTTCAAAAGTGGCATTAATAGCTTAGTGTGAACTCGGAGTATTTGGACTCTGAAGACCGGCCTTTAAAGCCCCTCCCTCCTCCTGTCTGTCATTGACTGAATGAGCTTGTCAGGACATAACGCTACCTGGTAAGACAACACCTAACTAAATAAATACCCCAAGGCCATTGCTTCACCTCATAGCAACCTGAGGCTATCAATCTTTAGGGGAGCAGAAAGCCTCATCTTTCTCCCAGTGAGCAGCTGGTAGGTTTGAGCTACTGACCTTGAGATTAGCAATCCAATGTAGACCTCTTTAGGTAAGAAGGGAGAATGAGGTAGAATGCACTTGCATTCTCTGAATTGTGAGGAGTGGTACTATTTAAGGTTGTATTTTAACTGGTGGGGGGATCCGAAAGCCTTGGGAAGAGTATAGTGGTGGGGCCATGCTTCAAAAGATGGTTAGGGTTCCAGCAGGTCTGCATACAAATACAGCCGAGGGAGAACATGGTGGTGGGCTGGCAAGGAGGAAGTCTCAGCAGGGGAGCTGTGCTGGAGAAGGCTAGAGTGGTAGGTTCGAGGCAGACAGGAGCACCTTGAACTTCACAGCCAAGCAAGGTGGATATCATACAGGTAGTAGGGTTTCAAAGCATCCTGCAAGGGAGATTAAAATAATCAAAGCCTGGAGGTCATGAGGCTACATGAAAGATTCTTCTGGAAGGCGAGCTATGTCATAAGGGGTTGGTTTAGAAAGGAGAGAGCAACCGTGGTAGAAAGCTTACTG